AGATTTTAAGCAGAAGAAAAAAATACATACATACCTGATGTTAGTTAATACTGGCTACTATGTCCGAGGACGCATGCTTGCTGGCCTTGTTGCAGATTTTCTGCAAGGCCTGATCCCTACGACTCTCACCTCTACTAGCTGCCTTACTGTGGCTGCAAGGCTTATGATGGGAGCATGAGCCCTTGCTGCCTGTGGCCCTGTCCATTGGAGCGCAGACCTGAGAAGTTCCTGGACACGTGTCCACTGGAACCAAGTTCATCTGCTTGGCAGATTCGGCCTTCCGGCTATTATAGTACGCGAAGGGTGATAACCCTACTGCAAACAAAGGAAGATTTTATCCCTCTTCGTTTGTATTATCAATATGTGTGTGTGTGTGTGTGTGTGTGTGTGTGTGTGTTTTTTTATTTTGAAACAAGTCCGGCACTGACACAGGCTCTGTCAATCATTGAAGTGAGGTATGGTACAGAAAAGGCAGCAATAGAGGCAAGTCTTGCAAAATGGCCGCTCAAAGTGGTGCAGCCCAAATCACTGAGGGCACAATGCTCCTTCGAAGCCTTTTAAAGGGAAGGCTCAATCCACAAGTCAAAGGCTTAAATTCCAGCAAGGAAAGGCAGCAAGGGACGGAGATCTCTGGCTGAAGCGCGGAGCTCAGCTGGAAAGCGCAATTGCGTTATTTGAAATTTGAGCGCGAAGCTCAAAATGTCGGCCTGACAGCAACTGTGGAGCACAAAGCTCCTCTGGCGGCAGGACAAAGAACTTAAAGCTCCAGGCTCACGTGGCTGTCTTAGAAGTCCAAAGCCGCCACCAAGCTGGGGAAACAAATCAAGCTGGGCTGTCGCTTCTAGAAAGCAGGCAGGTAAAATGGGAGCGCAAAGCTCCGACAGTCAATCAACACATTGGGCGGCTTCTGCAAGATGAAAGGCCAAATGGCCGCCCGACCAGCCTGCAAAGTCCACTCAAGATGTCCCGGCTGCAGGGACTGTGAACACTCCACAGGCTCCAAACCCAGCCCCCACGGGAGCGCAAAGCTCCACGCCGCGCCAGAATGCCTGCTGTTCAACAGAGATACCTTTGCTATATAGTAATAAGTAGAGGGGCTGGGATACCCCTGTTAACAGGCAATCCGAAACTAGCTGCAGGGGATGGGCACGATTCAACCCAGGTGTGGAATCATCCTGTCACTCACTATTAGGTTAACAATTTTCAGAAATCCATGTTTGAGAAGAAGAGCAATCAGAAATGGCAAGTGACACAGTCCCACACATCTGTCTAGCCTGAAGGACTGAGTCAAAAGCTGGGAGCCCCTAGCAACAAGGACAGGACTTAACAACTCTGACAGACTCAGAGAACATCAACTTATCTTACCCCCTTAAAAGAATTGATCATCCTAAGGTTTTCCATTCTTTTTCAAACTGAAACCGTAAACATTGGCCCTGAGTGTTCAGTAAAGACAAGAAGTAGTACACTAACACTCTGATTTGGTTGCAAGAAGACAAATACAATTTTACTCTGCATCAAGTGAAATATAATTTCCAAATCACAGAGAGTAATCACTTTATTGTATTCTGTTTTGGTGATACTCTAGCTCAGGCTCTGTACCCACTTCTTGTGAGAAAAAGTTTTCATACAGTTAAAAATAATAATAGCTAATCAGTTATAAAAACAAAGCAGAGACAAACCAGACAGTCTCAAAAAGTAGCGGAAAAGACAACAAAATATAATAGGAATTGGGTATTTTGCCATAGTTTTGTTCTGAAATCACTGAAGTTACTACTTTGTCAGATTTTGCCCCACAGGTAGAAATAAACCATAACTTCAGATAGGTAATATTTATTGATGAAGGTTAGAAGCCATATTAAACAAATTAACTGGAGTCCTCATAATCTGTTGGCATGACACTCAAAATGTTGTGACATTTGTTCTAATAGAACATAGAACAGATAAGCTGTCTCAAGCTTAATAAAACACAAGTTACCTTGAAATGTTCCAAAGTATCATTTTGTTCTAAATCAAAAACAAAACCTATTTTCTATAAATCCCCAGCAGTGAATACTTTCTTTAAGAGTCAGAAGGTAGCTCCCTCCCCATAACACTTAGTTCTAAGTAGTAATTACCACCTGAATTATCTTGCAGTGCACTTATATATACTATATACTCTTCATTTTCACTGAAAACACATACACATACTACTTACTATTTCAAATTCAATAAAGATAAAAATGGCACATTTCTACATAAGGAAAGCAACAGTTACTGGTTTAAAATAAATAAATATTTACATATCAACACTAGTTGAAGATCAGAAAGACAGTGAAAAAGATGCAATGCACTGAGTAGAAATTACTTATCATGGCTTATATCTAATAGGACTTTGCATATCATCTAAGTAATTTAGAAATTACTCAGTGACCCTTTTGATACTTTTTTTTTTTTACGTTTTGCCATTAAGATCATGAACTGACAAAGATAGAACCCACAGTTCAGTCTTGCACTGAAAAAGAAGTGCAGACTTGATGGCTTAAATTGACTCTTTCATCTTTTACGGTATTATGAAATAAAATGTTTATAACTGAAACATTTATACATTTCAATTACTAAGACACTAAAACAATGAAAAATTATTGATCAAATAATTTGTATATGTACATGAATACCGTCTTCATGCATACAAAGGAAGGAAGGAAGGAAAAAACTTTCCAAAGGTATGGCCCTGGTTTCAGTTTCATTAAATATTACATGTTATAAATTATAATTATAATTTATATATAATAAATTCCACAAATTATCATCTACAGAATGAACTTATTAATACTAAGGAGGAGGATTTAATTATTAATTAACCAGTATTTGGATTGTTTAAACTTGATTTCTTACAGTAACACAATGTTCTCCACCTTAAATGACAGGCCCACAAATTCTCCAAACATCTGAATTAAATTGAGATGAACAATTCAGTCTAGCACCTTCCATCTCCCAAAGACTAAGAAATGAACAAAAGAACCTCAGTGAACCTCCCAGAATTTATGAGAACCATCATTTAAAAATTTCTTGTAGCATATTAGTAAGTTGCAAAAATCACTAATTTAAACATTACTTTTTAAAAAAAAAAGACCTTTTCTAAAGATAAATCAGTTTAAAAGTATATCAGGTTTAGTAAAATTATTAAAGCCTAAATTTAAATCTTAAAATTGGGTAAACTTCTGTTGAAAAAGTAGTTAAAATGTTCTCCTATGAAAGAATAGAAAGAATAGACAAGAGCATGGTAAGTATTACAGGTAATTCTTGACTTAAGATCACAACTGGGACCAGAATTTCCATCACTAAGTGATGCAGTCATGAAGTAAGATATCATGTGACTGCATTACATACAAACGGCTGTGCCAGGAATTCCAATTGCTGTCATAACCCCAAGATACACAGTTCATTAGGTGGGAAGAAGTGGTAATCCTACGTACAGAGCATGGGAGTGCTGCAGGGGTGGGAAGGCCTGGTGCAACCTGCAGAAGTTGGGGGAGGGGTTGCTGAAATGCAGCACAAGCTTAGGAAGGCCAGTGAAAGAATACACTGTGGTTAAACGGCTTTATGGCACACCACCACTTTGGGGCTGCAAAAAGCCCAAGCAACAAGCAAAAGCCCATCCCCACTGCAGTCCACTAGCTCAGTGGTCCCCAACCTTTTTATCGCCGTGGCCCGCTGAGCGCGCGCAGGGGTGGGGGCACGGCCCAGGAGCTTTTGCGCACGGCCCATTGCGCATGGCCCAGGAGCTTTTGCGCACGGCCCAGGAGCCTTTGCGCTGCAGCGTTCATGTCCCCCGGCCGCTGCGCGGCCCGGTGCCAGGTACTCCACGGCCCAGCACCGGTCCGCGGACCGGGGGTTGGGGACCACTGCACTAGCTCACTTCCACAAAGCCATTCTGCCCTGGGAAGCCCCAGCCATCCCAGCTCAGTCCCAACCACAGTCACATTCAGTACCCTATACTTCAAGGACCCTACCATTGGTGCCCCCTGCTAAGCTTTCCATCTTCTTGCTCCTGGCACTGGGAAGTATTTATGATCAATGGGCTACTGGAAAGCCTCACTTCCCTGTGAGTGCACTTCCAGGGGCCAAAATTTGTAGAGATGCTTCCATGGGCGAGACTTTGCAGGAGGTGAATCCAAGAGTGAGAGTTTCCGTTATCATATATCTCACAGCTGCACCCTCACTCAGTGCCTGGACCCTGGGCCAGCAGGAGGAAGATGACCGTAAAGGTTAGCTACAGGCAGCAGGTGGCAGTGGCTGCAGGGAGCTACAGAGGTATGTAGCCAAGTGCAAGGCACTTCAAAAGGCAAAAATAGGGGGAAGATTGGCACATGGTGGGAGGTAGTTAAAGCACCCCTGTAGCTGTAACTGTGTGGACTGCCAAGTGCCCAAATTTTAATCACATGCTCATGGGGCCATAATTTAGGAACTAGTCATACGTTCATTTTTTTAGTGCCATTGTAACTTTGAACTGTTGCTGAGAGGTCCTGTGCTCACTATTCACTAAACATGCACAAGATTGCAATTCCAAACGTTAAGCGACCTTGCATGTCAAAAATTTAACTATATTCATTGGCACAAGCCATAATTAATATCAATGGATAAGATATAGATTCTTTTTAAACAAAACAGATCATAAAATGTGATTCTTACTCTAATATTATTTTTCTTGTTACAAATACTCCTAAATGTATTGCCTAACACCTGATTTCCTACATAGCAAAGAATTCCCTCATTTATGCATTAGTTTAAGAATCTAGTATTAGGCAACTGTGAAAGATAACCAAAGCTTGATGAAAGTTTGCTAAACTGAAACATTATTTTCATGCTTTTAAAATTAAGAAAATTAAATCATTAGGAAATAAAATAACATTCGAAGGATGTGTACTGCATTAACACTGGACTTCCTATCAGTTAAATTTATGTTGTTCCTCCTGATATTAAGAAATATTTACTGTTACAAATTCATACTTAAAACTTACTTTAGAAGTTTTGAAAAGATGGAAACAATCCTTGGCTCCTGATCTCTTCTCCCATTCCTCGATCACCCTCTTTTAAGCACGAGAATAAATTTGTTCAATACAAGGAGTGGGAAGATAGAGGATTTTATACAATTAGATTTGATTATTAATGGAAAACCCATTAATGCTGAATATATTCAGCAAAAGGAACGATCACAAATGCTGTTCCAAATAAGATATATTCAGTCGCTCCTTTGTAAGTACTATTATAACTATTTACAACTTAGAATAACTGTACACACCTGCTTCACTTAACATCAAGAGAAACTCTTCAATATATTATAAAACTTGTACATTAGTGTAGCATTTTCTCTTGAAGTTTGAAAAATGTCTGGAAATTATGGGATATGAATTTGATGAATTCTCACTGAAACACTCTGTGGCACAGAATGTCATTTAAACCTATCTCACTAAATTATCAAAAACTCGCCAATGAAGATAATCCACACGTGATGCTACATTCAGCCAAAGATACACTATATACTACTTATATGTTTACTGGGTACTGTTGATTGAGTTGATAGCAATGCCCAACAAATTATTTCTTTTATTTTGGCTAAGAATTTTTGATGTTGCTCTATAAGTCACTCAAAACTTTTAGGCACTAAAAACAACACAGGGGTATTGGTTTTTTTTTTGTGTGTGTACCATCCATTTTTCTAAATCTGATAAACTGATAAAACATAAGCAATTGATTAAATTAATATTATTATTATATGCCAGGTTTGTTATTTCAAATATTGGAAAACTGAAGACTGGATCAATGCATTTTAAAGCAAAAGAAATTGTTTTGGTCAAAAAATTGACCCAAGAAGAGCTACACAGAATACACTTAAATCCTTAACATCATATATAAATGTATGCATAATTAGACATACATCTTCCAAATTTCTTTTGGAAGCATTGTTTTAATTCTTCTGTTTTATTTTTTGACACTGGTTTAATTTTAAATTTAAAAAAAAAAATAGAAATCCAAAGTACGTCTACTTTTCTTTTACACATTCAAATGGCATATTACCTCCACTCAAGAGCCATGTGAACTGCAAGATGGGTGGCAAATAAATTTGATGAATAAATAAAACCTTAAACCTTTCTCCAAGGAATTTTATGATAGTTTACAATAATCTTGTTTGTCTATGTATGATTGAAAGCCCCACTTCACCTAATGCTACTTTATATTTTCAATCAGCATGTATTTGAAGCCAGAAGTTTTAATTTTACAGAATCTTCACAAAAGGCATATTGGTACAAAAATTGTGAGAATAATTTTTATAACACAGAATAATTTGAATAACACAAGAAGAATAATTAACCAACAATGGGAAAACCCCAGTCTATATGGCCAACCCATCCAGTTTGCAATGTTCTGAATGATATCCCTCCTGAATATTGCCTACCCATTTCCATATTCCCATTTTAGCTTATTTTACCAATCCTTTGCCTATGGTCCATCTTTTCTCTTCAAAGGAAAATAGTGGGCCATATCTGTCATTTTGATCCTAAATAGGAAGGATGAATCACAGGTGAAACAGGAGTTGTCTGTTATATCCCACAAACAGGAATCATGTTAGGCTCCTCCTGCATACTGCATCCATATTCTATTCCTCCTGAAGAGGAAGAAATGAGGCCCAAAGAAAGAGCCTCAGCCAGGACCTGCAGAGATGGTTCCTAGTTAGGAAATGTAGACATCACTTCTTCCTTTCCTTAATATATTTCTCCCATGTAAGGGGGAAAGATGAGGCATAGTGAAATTATGAAATTAGAAGATACCACATGTATTATGATCTAATGTTGAGGTTGCATTAGCAACATTAGCATCTTTTTCTGTCCTTTATTTTTTCTAGTTATTTGGAAAAAAAGAATGGAATGAAAGACAAATATACTACAATATAATGCATTTCATTTTTCTCATTTTCTACTGTTTTACTATAAGGAATTTTACTTCTATGTAAAATGTATTTTAAATATTAATGTTACAAAAGTTCATGATAGCAAATAAAAAAATGAAACTGAATTACATCTAACATACATGTAATTTAGCATGTAACTCTTATGATTCCTAGAGTCATGCAATACACTAACCAAAATCTCTAGTTTATCACAAAGTCGTTAACTTTTTGATAAACAAAGTTATCACAATCTTTACTGGGAAAATTACAAACTAATTTTAGTAGAAAATATGCCAGGCTGCAGGATTGTTAACTACTTTGTAATGTTTTGATGTGATTTAAATCACTGGGGGGGGGGAGTATTTATTAACACAGAGCAAGAATAAAAGTAAGCACTATTTCTCAGAACTTTTATATAGCCACAGCTAAAGCTACAATATGATCCATAAGCAGATTTATTGCTGAATACTTCCAACACTTTTCTTATTTTCAAAATGTTGGAGTTGCCATTTTAATATACTTTTATCAATGATATACCATTTTAGTAACTTTAACTATCTTGGAGATAAGTATTTTAAAAAAGCTTTTAGTTAATCTACAAACATATAAAATAGAATATATACTAGCATTATTAAGTGAAGAAACAGGGTTACTGCAGCCAGCAGCCAACAAATGGAGTATTACTTATTAAATGCTTCTGTAACCATTAAATGATAATAGCCCACATCCAATGAACTAAATCTGCATTTGTAGAGAGTTGAAGGGCTTTCAGAACTGGTATATTATGCTTACAGTCCAGAATGGAATAGTTATCTCTATACCTTTGATCTGGTACATGAATAAATTCATAGATCATTATTTTTTAACCAGCTCATATTTCAAAAAACTTTCATGAAATCTCTTCTTGTATGATTTCAATCACTATTTTTAATAATTATGTTCTATTTAATTTTGGAGTCTCACAGAACCAGATATCCTTTTAAAGTGTCATTGGTGTGACATTGCTATGTTCCATGATAACTAATATGTGGCACACCAACATCATGTTAAAAACAGCAGGTTCTACCACATATGCTATATTCCAATCATTATATTTTTAAAAGATTCAAATAAGTATGGCAACAACTATAATCAAGGAACTGAAATTTAAATCTTACATGGAGAGATTGAAGAAATTAGATATGCATTTGACCTCACATAGGAAAAGATCAAAACTTGTTTTTACCTCCTAGAAGGTATGACATAGAATAATGGTTTTAAGTTACAGGTAACCAGATTGGAGGTGAATGTTTTTTAAAAAAATAAATGCTCATAGTAATAGCAATTTGACAACAGAACTAAATTACCAAGAGAGGTAGTGAATTCTCCTTTCCTGGATACCTGCACAAACTCTGATAAAAATGCTTTAACTTAAATTTCTGTACTGAGAAATATACCAAATTCAATGTCTGCTTCCAACTGATTCCATAAGTACATAAAACTATTCAAATGATAACTTAATTATAACAGAAAAATAGCTATTTATAAGCTAAAATTCAATAAAAACAAAGTATAGTATTAATAATCCCAAAACATTTTTATAGATTTTTGAAATTTAAAAAGTTACCTGTATGCATCGTCTTCTTTCAAATCTCATACCATCCTGTAGGGTGGGGGGAAGAGGCCAGCAGCAAACCCTTTAACATAAAGAATAATTAGTTAGATGATATCAGGAGAATTCTTTAACAGGCTATGATTCTGCCTTTAACAAGTCATGTCAGTACTAGTTACTATGAGTTAGTAACTGTCCAAGGTCTCGAGAAGAAGATTTTCACACATCTGTGTATCACACTGAATTATGGAAAAGATTTTTCTCCATATTATTAATTTGAAAATTCGTGGCCTCCATATGGGGAAACAGAAGCTATGCCTCAAGGTTATTAAAACATACTAGATCAGGGAGAGTTTGGCAAATCATTACTTACAGATAAATCCAGAGTGACATTAGGTGACGTTCAATATTTTAAAAATAAATATTTTTAATTTAAAAATATTCTTAAATGGACCTTAATCCCCATATAAAGTTTCTTTCTTCTAATGTATTATTATTCCATTCAGTTTTAATGTCTATTATGTATGTTTTCATACCATAATCTGACTCTGAAATTACAATTTTTTAATGGGAATACATTCTTTTAGACTAAAATCTTGCTTGAATGTTTCCTTTCAAACTCATCTTGATCACACTTCAACTAATAACATAGGTAGCAGATGTACTAAAGGGATTGTGAAATGTTTTGGTTCTTTTTTTATAAGAACCATCTAACTACTTTACATTGATAAAGTAAACAGAACTTAGTAGAATTAGGTCCCAGTTTTATTTATATTGTTTTGCACTACTGTTACAACCTATTCTTAGTAATACTATCATACAACAATAGAATACATTAGTGAACTTGAGTATATGAACAATCAGATCTTTCCACTAAACAGAACGTTCTTGTTTTCCATATTCAAGGATTTTTCAGAAGATCTAATTTTATGAGTCATGTGTACAATGCTAAAAACTACTTTACTTTTTTAGCAGCATAGTAAAACCTCATTCTCTATTGATCAGATTCTAGATGTAATGGACAAAGTCTGAATTCTCAAATAAGAATCATTCTATTGTTTGGCAAATAAATCAAGACAATATTCATACATTTTACATAAACTGCACAAAATTATATAAATTTTATGTGCATCATGTAGAATTTATGTAATTTTAACAAATATTCAGCTTTAATGGACATCTAGCCTAATAAAAATGCCATTTAAAGAAAATTATTATCTACCACTTAACATCAACATTGTTTCTTCTTCATAGTTTAGGGCAGTGGTTCTCAACCTTCCTAATGCTGCGACCCTTTAATATAGTTCCTCATGTTGTGGTAACCCCCAACCATAAAATTATTCCTAAAACCATTGAAAATATGTGTTTTCGGATGGTCTTAGGCAACCCCTGTGAAAGGGTCATTCGATCCCCAAAAGGGTCCCGACCCACAGGTTGAGAACCACTGGTTTAGGGTATTGTAGTCCTTACTTACCAACTACCTGCTCAATAACCAATTGAAATTGAAATTTAGTATTATTAACACTCAGGCCACAAAGTTCTGGTTGTTGCAGCGCCATAATTTGCAATTTGGCTACTTCGCAACCAGCTCACATGACAGTTGCAGCATCCCCACAATCATATGATTGTCATTTGAGATCTCCCTATGACTTCTCATAAGCAAAATCAATGGAGAAACTGGCAGGGAAGATTGCAAGTCACTCTGTTAAATCCTTCTGGCTTTCCTAAACTAGTGTTGTGCCATCCACATCCTTCCTGTACTCACATGTCCCACACCCCAAATTTTCTACATTTACTGAGCTGCAATACTCCACTTCCCATCCCCCACATTCTTGAATATTGGGTTTACAATGGTAACCAGGATTGCTGTTGTCGCTAAGCAATGCAGTCATGTGAAGTCATGCTTTATGACTGCATCACTTAGTGACACTAAGCCTGGCCCCAATCGTTGTGATAAACCAAGGACTACATATAATACACTTGAAGTCAACATACTGCTATAATTTTTCTCCATAATTTCACACATATAATATACATGGATTTTTATATTAATATAATCTAAAAGCAATCTAAACATCACCAATCCATATAATTTCTTTTTAAGTTTTAACAATTTTAATGAATTAATTATCACAATTCACTTAAAACTTATATTCCCAATTCCACGAAGATTTTAACTGAAAACCAAATGTTTTCACATTTTTTTGTCATTTCAGATGTTACACATTAACTTTCAGTAACTAGGATATATTAAATACTACAAACATAAAAGCTTTCAGAAAAAGTTTAAAATGTTATGGAATAAACAGAAATGAATTAAAAATACAATCTAAAGCTTCTCATACATTCAGTGAGTAAGACCCTATGACAATGAGACATTAACAGCCGATATATAACAATAGCACGTAAGGCTTATATACCACTTCATAGTGCTTTACAGCCCTGTCTAAGTGGTTTACAGAATCAGCATATTACCCCCAATATAATCTGGCTCCTCATTTTACAGCCTTGGAAGGATGGAAGGCTGAATGAACCTTGAACTGGTGAGGAATGAACCTCTGGCAGTCAGCAGAATTAGCCTGCAATAATGCATTCTGCCCCACCATGGCTCTTATATGGCACTTTTACTTATTAAAAGCAGTGGGTTGATGTTAGTTCTGCCCCACCAAAGATACAATTTATCAAAACATTTGCACATAATTAAAAAATAATACATTTACATGTGACAGTATAGAAAGAGGATGCTACTAAAGAAAAACGATCATTTCTTTCTTCTGTTTCTGAAATTAATTGCTCAAAATTTGGGGGGCATGGAATAATCATTTGGGGATTATTTTTAACAGTAATAATTCCCTTTTTATGGCCCTGTAGTCCCTTAATTCAGAACAGAGTTGAAGCGACTGGATGGAGCTGAGCATTTACTAACTGGATGCCCTTCCTGATGCCTATGAGAAGTTTGCAACAGATATTATTTTGTTTGCATCCTAGGAGAGAAACATCTGCTGCTATCTAGGATTGAACTCTCAACCTTTTGAGGCGAACGTCTTCACCTCTAGGCCACCACACTACTTGTTTTTAACATTAATGTAGGCTAGAAATGTTATAAATGCATCAAAACCCTCTCAACCATTATTCAAATGACTTCAATATAAAATATATACAGTACAGTATAAGACTACAGCATTCTTTGATTATTTAAAAAACAATGGGTCAATCTTTCAAAACTAAGTATCTGAAAAAGTTTTAGATTAAAATTCGTATGTCCCTAAACACTGCCCATGTATACTAGTTGGAGTTTTAATTCAAAAACTGCAAGGCATAAGGTTGGAGGTCCTTAGGATAAGACTGTTGACAGGTTTGAACAAAATAAAGTATTAACATAAGCAATCCTTGGTTTAAAAATTAATCCTTCCCCACTACTAGCATTCTGTTTATGGATGCTATTTTACAGACTAGCAAATAAATCTATGGTTTGAAAGTGACTTAATGAAAATTAATCACAGTTAAGACTGATACAGCATACCAGGGGTGAAATGCTCCCGGTTCGGACTGGCTCGGGCGGGTAGGTAGCGATGATGGCCGGTGGTTCGGAGAACTGGTAGCAATGGCAGTAGAAGGCTCCGCCCACCCACCCCATTCCCCGGAGTCGGCGAATGCACCATTCCCCGGACTCCTACTGCTCACCTTTCTCCCGCAGCTGGCTATCAGGGAAGGCAAGCGCCCAAAAGGTACCTGAGTCGCTCACTCTCCTTGAATGAGCTGCTCTGGTTCACCCGCCAGCTGCGCAAGCGCACACCGTTTAATTCAGTGGCAGGTTGGATGTGCGCTTGCGCAGCCAGCGTGTGGACCAGAGCAGCTCATTCAAGAAGAGTGAGTGACTCTGGTACCTTTCGGGCGCTTGCCTTCCCTGACAGCCAGCCGCGGGAGAAAGGTGAGCAGTAGGAGTCCGGGGAATGCACCATTTCTCAACTCCAGCCTTGCCATGGAGCCGCTGCCTGCTCGCCCTTTGCCACACAGCTCCGCCCACCCACCCCGTTCCCCAGAGTTGGGGAATGGTGCATTCCCCGGACTCCTACTGCTCACCTTTCTCCCGCAGCTAGCTGTCAGGGAAGGCAAGCGCCCGAAAGGTACCAGAGTCGCTCACTTTCCTTCTTGAATGAGCCGCTCTGGTCCACGCGGCGGCTGCGCAAGCGCACACCCAACCTGCCACTGAATTAAATAAACGGTGTGCGCTTGCACAGTCGGCGCATGGACCAGAGTGGCTCATTCAAGGAGAGTGAGCGACTCCGGTACCTTTTGGGCACTTGCCTTCCCGGACAGCCAGTCGCGGAAGAAAGGTGAGCAGTAGGAGTCCGGGGAATGGGGCGGGTAGGCGGAGCTGCAGGAGAAAGAAATTTAAAAATTTTCTGACCGGGTTCTGTGGCCGTGGCTTGGTGGGAGGGGGTCTTGTGACTGAGTGGGCATGGCTGTGAGTGACATCGAGTAGGCCATGCCCACTCAGTCACAGGCCACCCCCCCCACCAAGCAACGCCCACAGAACCAGTAGGGAAAAATTTTAGATTTCACCCCTGCAGCATACTATACTTAATCTAATATAAAAACTTCCAATATTCTCCTTGTAGTCACATCAAAAGAAGATGGAGAAGATAAACCTAAAGCTCCCCTGCATAATTCTGAATCATAATTTAGCAGGCCAACAGAATAATGATCAACAATTTTTGTATAAAATCAGCCATGTTGCCTTAGAATTTTGAAACTTGCAGTTCCAGTACTTCAGGAATATGCCAGGTTCAGGAAGGCTGCAACAAAATCTGAAAATATATTCAAAAATCTTTAGCTGTATGTAGAAAAGACCTGGGAGATGAAGCAAAGAGTTACTGCTAAAGAAATGGTCAAGAGACAACATAGCCTGTAGCTGCATAATGGATAGAAGTGGCATTGGTCTTACCTGATACGCTCCGTCTCAGTGTGCTGAGAGAGAATCCAAAGCATAGGTTAACTCCGCCTTTCTGCCCAGAGACTGAGTCCTTTAAACTTTGCAGCCCCACCTCTCGACTGTGTCCCAGCTTTGACAAAGGCGTAGCT